TATCTAAATCTTTTCGTCAGGACTTCAGACAAAAAATTCCTTATGGACTGGTAGATTCTCGCAGATCTGTGAGCTCCCTTTCTTTAATATTTCAGGGTGTTTTTGATCAAAGATCATCGTTTTTTATTAATCCACAGTTTTCAAATCCCAATGTTAATTGATCCTTTTGTGAATAAGCCTTTAGTTCATTATTCGGCTTCAACTCCCGATTCTGTTGAACAAAAACGTCAAAAAAATCACAAGTTTAACCTAATTTTCGTTATTTACTTTGTAAGTTATCATAGTGAATTTACTCCTTGGAAAACATCTCGTTCATTATAATTACCTTTTGAAATAATTTCAAACTACTCGCGCAGGAACAAATTTAAAAGACATCTGTAGAGATTTTTCAAGTAACGCAAGGTAAGGAACAAGGCAGAATTAGAAAATTTCGTGGAGGTGGAAGACGCAGAGTAAAATCAAATGATTTAAAATCAATTTCCTAATTCGCCAAAAGCCGAAGCCTTTTGTTTTTTGTTGTTGTTTTTTTACTTTAGTTGTTCGCAATTAAAACAAGATATGCAACATGATTTTCAAAGATTTAGTCAACATCTGAAGAAAACCGTAAAACTGATACGAAGAATATAAAGGGACATAATTATCTAAAACTAATACATATGTTAAAGCTCCCTTCGACTTCTTTGTTCATCAACTGGCGTCGCATGTTAAATACTATTTGTTCCATGTCACAAATCCACGTTGGAAGCTTTCTTTGGCTTGATTCAACCCTAGGCAAAAGAACGCAAATCATCGCTTTAGATCGTTTTGTACTTGTGAAAAGTATGTTCTTAAGAGTAACAAGCGTCACAACTTTAAACTTAAATGTTCTCCGCCTGTGTTATGACCGCTGAGACAATTCTCTACGTTTTTTTTTAATTTCAGCCTTTGTTTCGTTATTAAAATTTACTTTCTCACTTTTTGCGTGCATCGATGTGGTTTTGATCAAACGTTTTTTCTCAGTGATGGTTCTCTCATGTGACGGTACATGTTAGGATTATAGTTAGCTCGATTTAAGATCTTTACTTCTCTATCCCTTCAACTGTGGTCTTAATCAGTTACGAAAGCCTAAAAATCCCATCAATTCCACAGAGGAATGGTTCTATAAATAAATTACAAGTATGAGCCATATAGTTACACTGATAGAAACATGCTCCCGTGCAAGTCTAAAAAGGAAGAGAAAACTCACAGTCGAATGTGCAAATTGATTTCCAGCTGAGTACTCCATTTCTGCAAATATTTACTCTTAAATCAACTGTCTGTCCGTCATCTCTCACCTGTCTGCTGAAAGACAGACGAGAAGGAAACTTATTAATTTCAAGAAGATAACCATTTTACAACATGCACCGTGAGATTTTTTCAGAACTTTGGCGATAACTTTTCTTGTTCGAGGTGAAGTTTCAAATTCTCGAAAATGAGAAAGTCTACTAGTTCTTTCAATTTTATCGTTGTTTAGTTCTGATTGCTAGACAGAAAATTAGAAGGCATTCAACACGCAATCTAAAAACCCCAAACGACTGACACATCTCATGCTCAGTTTTTTACTACGTGAGTGCACATGGTTATCCAAGTCGGAATAGAGTAAATGTTGATATAACGCACACTAGACAAGGGATATTTTATGACCATTTATTCTGTCGGAGAGTCGCCTTGGTCATCACCAAATAAAACAAGCTGTTTGTCGAAGAATTTCAGGAGCTAACAAAGCATCAATGCAGACTGTTTGTTTATGCCTTTTCAGCTCCTCTGTTAGGGTTCGTAACATCTCATGCAATTTTGAAGTGACCTTAGGGAGAATCATTTTATGGAGTGTGTAAGTGTGTAGATAAACGAGAAAGATTTGATTCAGCAAAATGAAAATGACTCAAAAGGGTGCGAATGTTAATTACCTCTATGGCAAAATAGACAAGCATAACAGAAATTAAATCATTTTAGTGCGAATCAGTACTTCAATTGACAAAAATTGGTCAGTCAAAATCTCGATATTGAGAAATAGCAGTTAAATTCTATGATTGTTTGGAATAAATAAACATCATTGTCCAGGCATTAATACCCCTTAAAACAATTACTGTTTCAATATGCAGTTTACTCAACGGCACTTCACCCTTGATGCAGTCAACATTCCAACCGCCGGAAAACTCGTGCTTTCCTCTGACCCGAGAATGGCCACAAGTAACTAACCATAAATACGCTTTTATAAAAAAAATTTAAAAAGATAACTATTTTAGTCAGTAAAAGGCTTTCTATAGACTGCCTTTTTTTGCTTAAATTCCTTCAGGCTCTCTTTCACTTTTGCGCACTCTCAGGTTATTTGCAGGTATGAGCGAAAACAGTCATGCAATTTTGCTAAAATCCGAAAAATAATGCATAAAGTAGCTACTACACGTTTGAGGCATTTTCAAGGCAAAAACTTGAAAATTTATTTCAAGCTGAATATACAAGGTTTACAAATATCTTGGATTATCTCACGTAGCTAGGAGCCTGTGTACAGCTGTGTTTGTGGTAGTCGAGGACACATGATTCATCACTATTGTCCACACACTTCCAATCTTTCAATAGCTTTAGTTGATTTGTCATTAATCAATGGTGCACGCTGATAAAACGGCCTAGTTAAGATCACTTACTGTGTAGTCCAGACCTTTTGTGTGAGCCTTTTCACCTATACTCAACTGCAGAGCTTACCATGTTTTTGGACTTTGAAAGAGAGACTAAATGTTCTTCCAACTGGCACTCGAGCTTATAGCGTTTGAATTTTGTTATTGTGTAAAATCTAAATAGTTTTTATCGCTCACCAAACTTTCAGAATTCGCCACCTTAGGATTCTTTTAACTTCAGCCCTCGTTATTTGCTAAATTTTGCTTTCTCAGTTTTCGCGCGGGTCGATTTGGTTTTGATCAAACGATTTTTTCCTGTGATGTTTCTCTTGCTTGACAATGCATGTTAAGATCATATCTAGCTCGATAAAACAAAAAGTCTTCGCTTCTTAATTTCTCAAATTGTGGTCTAAACCAGGTACTACAGCCTGAAAAACGCATTAAAATGGATAAAATTTAAAATCATTGCTTCTAAATTTCTTCACTTGTGGTTTAATCAGTTATTACAGCATGAAAATCACATCAGCTCGATGGAGAAAATATTTTATGATAAAGTTCAAATAAGAGCCATAAACTTCTATAGAATCTATAGAAAAGAGAAGAGAAACGCCTCAGTTGTATGTGCAATTTGATTTCCAGCTAAGAACTTCGAGCCCGCTAATATTGCGGACTCTTCAAACGATCTCTAGTGAATGACAGTCAAGAAAGAAACTTTTTTATTTGGGGGCTACATGCACCTTAAGATTTTTCAGAGAAGTTTCTGGCGATAACTTATTATGTTCGAGGTGAAGTTTCAAAATCGCTTAGTTGAAATGTCTAAATGTTTCAAGCATATGATTGTTTGATTGTTATAGGTACACAGCTTCCCAAATAAATCATGTTCTAACACAGTTTTTTTTAAATTATTACTTAATTCAACAAAAACATGCCTGACAGGAAATTATAAGGCATTCAACACGCAATCTTAAAACCTCAAGCAATTTACTTTTTTCCTACGCGAGTGCACATGGTTGTCCAAGGGAATAGAGTAAATGCTGATATAACCCACACTAGACAAGGAATATTTTATGACCATTTATTCTGTCGGAGAGTCGCCTTGGCCATCACCAAATAAAACAGGTTGTTTATCTAAGAATTTTGGGAGCTAACAAAGCACTAATGCGGACTGCATGTGTATGCCTATTGAGCTTTTCTTCAGCCTGAAAGAAAAAAATCAAAAACAAAATACGAGGAACATAATTACTACTTACAGAGAAAAAAAGTGACTGATGTATATTCATGATGTAGTTTATCTATGTGTTTAGTCAGTCAAAATCTCGATATTGAGAAATAGCAGTTTAATTCTATGATCGTTTGGAATAAATAAACATCATTATCCAGGTATTAACACCCCTTAAAACAATTACAGGGTTTTATTAAATTTTTTAACAATTTTTTTTTTTAAATTAATTTTTTGATTAATTTTTCAAATTTTTTTAGACAGTTTTTTAAATTAATTTTTTCACCTTGCCCCAAAAAATGATCAAAGTTTGTGCAACTTCGCCCGATCCTATTAGTATGTCTCGCCAAGCCTTTTTGATATTGGCCCCCGCATAACCGCTAATTATGGCTTATAAATACAGGCGTTTAGTGTTAACTTTAAAACTTCCTGAAGAAGTCTATTACAGTTAGACGAAACAAGTCGGAGAATGAAGAAGTTTTACAACTACTGTGCGCAGAGTGTTACTCACTAATTTAGTTTTAAAAAATAACTAAAAAATTGTTTTAAAAAAATTTCTAAAAGATAACTAAATAATAAAAAAAATTATTTAAAAAATTATTAAAGATAATTAATTTGGCCTCCAAAAATACTTACTTACATAGATTAGCTATTGTTACAGTTTTCCTGTAACACAAAGTACAATCTAAGTCTTGCAGAATATTATTGATAACATCCTTAATACGGGCATGACTAAAGTTTAACGTAGTCTTACAGACCATAATCATGCCTGGCCGAGATCTATGATTAAGTGGCCTGGAGAACCGAAAAAATTAATTAAAACAATTATTGAAAAAAAAAAAATATATATAAATAATTTTTAAAAAATTGTTTGAAAATATTGGGGGCCACGGTTTTATTCTCACCTTGCCCAAAAACATTTTTTTTTCAAAGTAAAAACTTGCAAATTTATTTCAAGCTGAGTATATAAGATTTGCAAATATCTTGGATTATATCACGTATTCAGGGGCCTGTGTACAGCTGTATTTGATAGTCGAGGACGCCTGATTCATCAATATTATCTACACACTCTCCATCTATTAATATCTCTAATTGATTTGTCATTAATCAGTGACAGCAAACTGATAAAAACAGCCTAGTTAAGATCAGTTACCCATCACTTCACCCTAAAGCCCAGACCGTTTGTTTGAGTTGTTTCACTTTTACTCAAATCGCAGAGGTAAGTGCGCTGTTCGATTTCTGAAGAAGACTGATCTTTCTACTCGCTCGCACTCAGGCTTAGCGCTTGAGAGTTTAATACTCTATTTTCTTGAACTCAAATAATGTCGCTCAAAAAGTTTTGGAATTCAGTTGCTGGTTTTTACCTTGTAACAAGAAACATGAACGCTGTTATGTTTCTAGCAATGCTCTCAACATCTTCACTTCTTTCGAAAAAGTGTAATAAGAAGTCTCTTTTACAGAAGAGGTTGTTTGCACAAAGTTAAGAAAATGGAACAAAAATGGAACTAAGTCGAAATCCTTGAAATTGTTTCTTTAATTTCGTCTGACCCATGTTGTTTCTCATTTATGTTAAGGCTTTTTACGGGAAACCCAGAGATCTAGTCGTAGCTGATTATAGATATTTGTGGTTCAGGTTTTCATTTCAGATTAGTGATGAGTCTTGTCATCTGCGTTTTGCTGATCACTTCTTGTGTGACTTTCGCCAGGTAAGTATTTATAAACTAAATTGAGTAGAAGAAATTTATTACATATTGAAACTCACTTTGCTTTCAGCAATAAACCTTTTGCAATACCTCGGTATTGTTCATTCTTTGAGCATCTTTAAAACTATTTGATGACTTGAATCTAGCGGCGCAATTCGATCAGTTTTCGTGACTTTTGGCGTGACTTTCGCCAGGTAAGTATTTATAAACTAAATCGAATACAAATGGAAACTCACTTTGCTTTCAGCAATGAACCTTTTTGCAACACCTCGGTATTTTTCATTTTCTGAGTGTCTTTACAACTATTTGATGACTTGAATCTAGCGGCGCAATTCGATCAGTTTTCAATTAACAATTTCGTATTTTTTTTCAGCTCTGAAGAGGAGCTCTATGGAGTTGTCAATGATGGTAAGTTCTACGAGCGACATCCACCTCAATATGCCAGCGACAATTGGCTGGGATCAGCCACTTTGATCGGCAGTGGAGAGTGGAACAGCTTCCAGTTTTTGTTCTTCCACCCAGACGGTACTTTATATGGTGTTCACAACGACAGGTTCTACAAAGGGCCTCCGCCTAAAGCTACCGGTACCGATGCTGCTCAGGACTGGATGAATACAGCGACTCTTGTAGGCACTGGAGGATGGCATGTCTTCCAGTTTCTGTTTTTTGATCCTGAAGGGATACTGTATGGTGTTGCCGATGGCAAGTTTTATCGGCGAGCCCCTCCTACACATGGCTCAGACAACTGGCTGGGATCTGCTACACTGGTTGGAAGTGGCGGCTGGCAAGTATTCCAGTTCTTGTTCTTCGACCCAATGGGAATGCTGTATGGCGTTGAAAACGGCAAATTTTACAAGAGAGAGCCACCCACGCATGCAGGAGACAACTGGCTGGGATCAGCAACTCTTATTGGTACTGGAGGATGGAACCATTTCAAGCTGCTTTTTTTCCTGAATGACGGCAAGCTGTATGGCGTGCACAACGACAAGTTCTACAAGCGTACACCTCCTGTCCGTGGGAACGATAACTGGC